GCTCCGGAAGCTTCTGTCCCCTGGCAGTTAGAACCTTTGGGACTAAGAGGGCAGGGGCAGCGGTGGAAGGGGAGGAGCCTCCAAGATGGTCCCCAGGGCCTCTCATCTCCTGAGGAGGCTCATGGGGCCCCGCCCACGTTGTGCCAAGGATCATCTGTGTGGCAGCCAATAGAAAATAGGAAAGGGGACAGTGGGTGACTTCCAAAGCTCAGTCACACGAGATCTGTCACTCGTGGATCACTCCTTCCGGGAGGAGTCGGCCACCATGTTGGGAGGACACTGAGCAGTCACCCACGTGGAGAGGCACCGAAGCCCTGGCCACCTTGTGTATGGTGCTGAGCCTCCGCCACACCTCCAGTCACTACCGCCCCACACGACCTCCTGACTGCAATCTGGGGAGAGACCCCCAGCCAAGACAGGTAGCTGAGCTGCTTCTGGATTCTTGATTCAAAATATGGAGGGTAATAAATGCTTATTGTTTGAAGATGCAAACTGTTGGCTTGGTTTGTTATAGAGCAATGGAGACCTGATACGAGTAGATGCAGATGCCCTTGGAGGTCCAGAACCTGTGATGAGAAGATGACTTTGCCAGGCTTTCCCTCCCTGTCCCCACCTCCAGCTCCCTAAGCACCATTACATAAGATGGCTCTGGAGTCCAGAGAGAGACCTGTAGCCTCCCGTGGTCCTTACCTTCTACTGGCCTGTTCTCCCACCCACGTAACCAAAAAGTTAAAATGTTACCTGTCATCTCCAAAATCTTAGGGTGGTATGATGGTTGCAACCCTAACTTGGAGTCAGGGAGACTGGTTGTAACACAGGCTCTGTCCCTGGGGAACTTGATGCTCACTACCTAATTTTTCTGAGCCTCAGCTTTGCCTTCCACAAAGTAAATTTAATAATATCGATTTATAGCATTACCATAAGAAATCACACAGTAAACGCTCGATAATGAGACAGCATGGCAGTTACGGTGACATCCACTTAAAACTCAGTTGCAAGGGGATCAGAGACTAAGGACTTCATGGGACTGGTGCGAGGGCCCCAGGGTAAGGGTCTTTTAAAAACTCCCCAGGTGATTCGTGGAGACTCTCCGCCCTAGAGAAATTTCCAACATGAGCCCCAGAATCCTACAGGAATTTCACTGCAGTAAATGTCTGTAATAGAGGAAGATTACAAATGATCCAAACGCCCACCAGCCACTAAGCAGGATGTGTGTCACGGAGACTTACACAGCAAAGTGGCACGATCCAACACTATGGTGCCACATGAACATAAATCTCTAAAATCCTATTCTGAGCTCCCAAAATGCCGAAACACACATATAGCATATATAATGTGTTCAAACATGTAGAACATTCTCATATTGTTATTTAGAAATGTACATATATTGCTAGAAGGCCATACTTGGGAATAAAAGCATTAAATTCCAAGATGGAACCTCTGGACAAGAGGGGGGGGTGGGGTGGAGCTCTCTGATGATGATTATTCTTACACCGCTGGCCAGCACACAGGTGCCCATGGAATACCTGAGATTTTTGCATGCCTGAAATATTTCCCCATTTAAAAATACATGTGCATAGAGCTGGGTGTGGGGGTGCATGCCTGTCATCCTAGCGGCTCAGGAGGTTGAGGCAGGAAGATCATGGGTTCAAAGCCAGCCTCAGCAACAGTGAGGCCCTAAGCCACTCAGTGAGACCCTGTCTCTAAATAAAATACAGAATAGGGCTGGGGATGGGGCTCAGTGGTCCAGTGCCCCTGAGTTCAATCCCTGGTACCCACCCCCAAAAAATACATGTGCATAGAAGATTTTCCAGTAGAACTGTAGGTGGGTGTTTTTCTTCCTGTTTTATGTTTGCATGTGTCTCCTAGTGTGTCTATAGTGATCCACTCTTGCTGTTAAGAAATAAATTAGTTGGTTATTTAACCATAAAAAAGTACACAAGGACAATTTTTGAAACAGCCTGCTCCAAAAACGCCTGCACATGAGTTCTAAAACATTAGTGCAGATGAACTTGACATCACTCGACACACAACATCCTGAGGTCAGAGATTGGGGTCATCAGCCCAGGGACACTCACCTTGGGTCCCTAAAATCCTGTCTCTTGGGAATGCCTCAGAAACCAGGCCCAACCCCAGCAGATAGAAGGAGAACTCGTCAGGGAGGGGCAGCTGGGGTGGGGGCCCTTCTCTAGCAGCCTAAGTTACAGGGAGGGAAGAGAACCCAGGCCGGCTGGGGGAGGAGCGGAAGCTGGGGGCGGTGGAGCAACAGCAGGTATGGTTTATTTCCTTTTAACAAAGTTGAGAAATTTTGGAGCCAACCCCATGCAACAGAGCCTCAAGCTGGGGAGTCTGGCTTTTTCCTAAGCCATAGGATCTGCCTCTGCTAGCAAAGAGTGCTTGGCAGCTGTTCTTAAAGACACAGGGAGGATTTGGTTTGTTTCATGTGAGTAATGGACACCCTTCCCATGCAGCTGCATTCCTCCAAGAGCCACAGAGAGGTCATTTCCACCTAATACGGCATGCTCAAGATGGGGAAATCCAGGTTTCAATTCCATTTCAGGGACTATATTTTGTGCATTCAACAAAAAATAGAGTGTAAAATCTCCTAACAAGGTTGAATAAAAACAGCGCTAACAGGTGAGCTACTGCCCCCTGGTGTCCACAGCTGAAATGGTCGCTTGTGATGTTTCTTCCTGTGTCCCTCCCTGACACCTCCTCCACCCCATCTTAACAGCCCACAACAAGGGTTGCAATCTGGCAGCCCCCTGTAATCAGCAGGAAGACACGCCCACTTTTTAAAAATCTGGAGATTTGTTCAAGAATCTAGACCTGACATTTCTTGTAAGAAACTGGAAAATCTGTCAATTGCTGGACCACAGCTCAAAATAATAAATGTGGAAAACTGTCAGCTACAACTGAGAAGCTGCTGCCCACTTTTCATAAAGCCTGTGCTCTCAGACTCCCCACACTCCCCCTCTCTCCCTACTGTCTCACACCCAGGCAGTCCTACTCCTTACCAGTTCCTGCAGAGCTTCTGGGTTTGCTGCCTGGCTAAGCTCATCAAAGAAGTTACCCTGGCACCCCAAGGAGTGGAGAAAGGAGGGTGCCTTTGAAGGTGGTAATTAACTCTTTATGCCTGATATACATGCAGAGCTTCACAGCCCTATAATACCGGGCTCTGTGAGGGTGACTTGCTCAAAGTGGTAAGCCTTGCACTTGGACGGACACCTGTCTGGCTCCAGGGCCTCCTTGTCTTCAATACACTGTCTCCCATTGGCTAGTTACACAGCAGACCCTCCTATGGGGAAGGTTTTTCCAGTGATATTACTACTTGGGCTATATCAGAAGTGAAATTCGGAGAACTCTGAGAAAACAATATTCAAGACCCATGTTCCAAAAATTAAAAATAAGAAGTCACCAAAAAATAACCACCATTCTGATTTTATTCTTAATAACCCTATCGTTTGCCCCACATCCTTCAGATTCCAAGGGAACATTTCTTGAGCATCTACTAAGTGCCATCCTCCATCTTGAGGGCTGGGGAACTACAGAAAATGGGGGCCAGGGGCACGACATAAAGAGAGAGTCCAACAGGAATGGCGGAAGCCTTTTGGCCCCTCACTTCACAATGTTCCCCCAGGCTGGCGTGGGCCTGGACACTTTGTTTTGTGCTGTGGGTCAGCAGCTTTCTTAAACTAGGATCGGGATGAAGCCTACACAGGTGCACAGTCTCCTCCTGTGCCTGGAACATCCTGCAGCTCTAGCACCTTCTTCTTTGGGTAAGCAGCAGCAAGGATCTGGTGTTTTTCCTAGGAATAATTACCAGTGCTGACATTTGCCAAGCATTTGCTCAGTGCCAGATGCACAGAATCTCAAACAAAATCCTAGAAGAGGTTCTGTCATCACCTTGTCCCCAGTTTACAGGAAAGCAAACAGGGGATCAGCGAGGTCAAACCATTTGCTGAGTGTAACCCAGTTTGCAAGCAACAGAGCTGGGACGTGAACCCTGGGCTGTGTGGCACCAAAGATGCCTCCAAGGGGAATCTGTGTCACAGGGGGAATGGGATCTTAAAGCATCAATTCTCCTGCAAATTTCACATTGGTGGGAAAAGGTGAAGTGGGCTATTTGTCCCATTTTACAGATGGGGAAATTGAGGTTGAAAGTAAGCTGCTCAAGGTCACAGAGTAAATAGCAGAGTCTGGATCTGAGCTGACTCCAGACATCTCAGTAAGTCAAGCGTTTCTGGGGCGCGTCCCTAGATGTTCGGTTCTCACTGTTTGTGGGTTAAGATGGAGTTTTCCGATCTCTGCTTCAGGGGAAAATCTATCTCCCTGGAAGCCAAAGAACAGCCAGGCCGTTCTCCTGACGATGCAGATTAAAGTCAAGAAGGAAGAGTCACAGACAGGGAAAGGGACAGAAGGCGCAGCCCGGAGGGGGGCTAAAACGGGCCACGAAGTCAAGACTAACAGAGAGGCGAGCTTCACTTGCACCCGAAGGGACACCCACCCGAGGGCGGCCCCGGGAAGAGGAGACCCGGGCGAAGGGCAGCGGTTCTCAGCGGACGCAGACGCGAGTTTGTGGACCTCACACGCAGCGCGCCCCAAATACCCATCCGCAGTCACTTCTCAGCAGCGCCTGCTCCTCCCGCCAGCGACCTAGGCTCCGCCCCCTCCGCTGCCTATTGGCCGTTGCCGGCACGAGACCAATACAAGAGCCAGCCAATGGGAGTGGCCCACGGCGCGCCTTTACCAGGGAAGCAGACGCCGAGGCGGAAACCCGGAAATGCGAGGGACGGACAAGTGAAGAAAGCCAATCCGTCGCGATGAGGGCGGCGGGTCGTCCAATGGCGAGCTTCAGAGGGCGGGGCCAAAGGCCGGCGGCGAAGGATGTCTCGGGAAACAGCAGCCGCGGAGTCTGCGAGCGCCGGGAAGGTGGCAGGAAGGCCCGGCCACCTCGCGCGGTGAGGAGTGGGCATGCCCGAGGGGCTCTGAGGGTGCGTCAGGGCCGCGAGCTCTGGGCGGGATTCTCAAAGGGCCGAGTCTGCAGAGTGACCCTACAGCGGTCCCTTTATCTCTCCGGGTCTGTTTCCCGCTTCTGGGAAAGTGGGCGCCGAGAGATTGTGCCCCCCGCAACGCAGCCCCTTGTCGCACACACCCCTGGTACCCGCGACCTCTAATTTGCCTTTACAGCTGGGTCGAGGAGCCTGTTCTTCGTGGTGGGAAGGCCACCCAGACCACCGGTACCCGCATAGCACACCAAGCCGTTTCAGATGTCAGTGGCCACAAGCAGGGTGACCCCCTCAGCCCCCGAGTCCCGGGATCAGTCAAGCCTGTCCGCGCCCGGGCACCCCAGAGCAGAGCACAAACCCCTGTTAGTAATAACTGAAGGTGAAAGGCCCTGTGGACTTTCAGGAACTCAACTTGCCCTATCTGTGCCTTGGTTTCTTTCATCTGTAAAATGGAGCTATAGGTAGCTAGCTCTTCCTTTATAGGGTGGTTTGAGGATTAAATGAGATACTGCTGTGTAGCATCTAGCTCAGTCCCCAGCACACCATAGTTGCCAAATAAATGCTTATTGTTAGTTTGCATGCCTGGCCCTTTTACTCCCACTACCAGCCACTGTCACTGAAATGTAGTAGTCACCCACCCACTCTGGCCCAGGACCTTGGTTCCCCTTGAGATGTTCCTCTGCCCAACCATTTGGTGGGATCCCTGCAGGACAGAAAAGGAAGGCCAGAGAGGGGGGACAGCATTGTGGGCTCTGTGGCTGAATATCAGGGTGCTGGTAGGAGGAGGCAGACACATATGGCATTAAATTAGGCCACTAGTCAGTTATGCTCATCAAAGAATGGACCTCAGAACTGCCATGGCCAGTCTGTGTGTGTGTGTGTGTGTGTGTCTCCGTGTCTCCAACACTGGGTGTTCAGAGGCCACAGAGATTTGTGATGAAAGGGGGTCCCTTAGATCTGGGAGGTTCCTGAATTGAAGTCATAGGACTGTCAGCTTTTCACTTCACCTCCCGTCAGTGGGAGACAGACATCAGTTCCTCAGGTTGCTGATGAAAATTGCAGGAGATAATATGTGTCAGGTGCTAAGCCTGGCATATAGTAAATTCTCAGTAAACAATGGGCAGCAATAGCAGCATGGCTTGCCTGTCACACTGCTCTGAAAGCGGGCATCAGTCCTCCCAGCCTGGGCCCTCCCCCTCAGAGATCCATTCTGCCTTACCCCACTCCTGGTCCCTTCTGAACTTGAAGATGCAGGGAGTCACCAAGCCTGTCGCCCTATCCAGGGTCACACAGTGTCTGGGACATGTCTAATCCCCTGCCTCATCTCCTGCAATTCTTGGTTGCTCACAGATCCTGCTCTCTCTCCACCAACTGTTGACATGTGCATGGAGCCAACCCCCAAGTCCAGATGACGCTCATGCCAATGGCTACAGTGATGGCGGTGACTGAACCGAAATGGGTCCCAGTTTGGGGCCGTTTCCTATGGGTGACATTGCTGAGCATGGCACTGGGGTCACTGCTAGCCCTGCTGCTGCCACTGGGGACCATGGAAGAACAGTGCTTAGCTGTGCTTAAAGGCTTCTACCTGCTCAGGAGCAAACTGGACAGGGCACAGCATGCTGTCACCAAGTGCACCAGCCCATCCACAGAGCTCAGTGTCACCTCCCAGGACGCAGAGCTGCTGGTGGTCAAGACCAAGGCGTCTCCAGGTAAGACAGACAGGCAGCCTCTTCACAGTGCTTGTTCATCCAAGAGTTATTTCTAGAACACCTGCTTCACCCCATGCAGGGCACGGGGTGGGGGTGAGCAGGTCAGCCCTGAGCGCCAGCCTAGGCAAGCTGATGGGTGATCGAGGCCGTGTCACAGGGGTGGTGACCGGGAAGCACACGGAAGGCTCCCTGGGGGAGGGAGTGCCTGAGCCCAGTCCTGAGCTGACACTAAGCAAGTGTGGTCCAAGGAGAAGAGGTGAGCAGCAGAGACCACAGGGGAAGAGAGCCTGGGGACACGGAGGGACCCAGAGAAGTGGAGTACCTATGGCTGACACCTGTCACCAGGACCGGGCTGGGAAAGGAGGGCCAGGTCCAGAGTGGGGCTCTGCGCCTCCACCAGGGTCCCTCATGCACCAAGGTGGAGCAGTGAGCCTGCCTCTGCCACCAGGTGCCCCAGCTGTGACAGCCAAACATGCATCCAAACATTGCCAGATGTCTCCCAGGGGAGTATGATCGAACTTGTGGGATAAAAGATGGCCAAGGCCACAGGGTCTAGTGGGAGTGGGAGCCACTGATGCCCCAGGCCTGAGGGACGGAAGCCAGGACCAGCCTCAGAGATGGCTGAGCTGCGGAAGGGGCAGGAGGCCACCTTTCCGGAGTCGTGGCTGAGGGGAAGCCACTGGCCATGGCAGCAGCAGACCTGGGAGGGCTAGGGGGCCCAGCTGGTGCCTCTTGGGTGCAGACCTAGGGCAGCAGGGACGACAGCCCCCACCCCATAGGGCTGGGGACAGCAGGGGCGCAGGGCGCGGTGACAGACCTGACAGGGACCGGGCCTCGGCTCTCTCCAGCAGCTAAGCTGGAGGCCAGAGCGGCCCTGAACCAGGCCCTGGAGATGAAGCGCCAAGGCAAGCGGGGCAAGGCGCACAAGCTCTTCCTGCACGCCCTCAAGATGGACCCGGACTTCGCGGATGCGCTCACCGAGTTCGGCATCTTCTCGGAAGAAGACAAGGACATCATCCGCGCCGACTACCTGTTCACCAGGGCGCTGACCATCTCGCCCTTCCACGAGAAGGCGCTCGTCTACCGGGACCGGACGCTGCCGCTGGTGGAGGAGATTGACCAGCGCTACTTCAGCATCATCGACAGCAAGGTCAAGAAGGTCATGTCCATCCCCAAGGGCAACTCGGCGCTGCGCAGGGTCATGGAGGAGACCTACTACCACCACATCTACCACACGGTGGCCATCGAGGGCAACACCCTGACGCTCTCAGAGATCCGGCACATCCTGGAGACCCGCTACGCCGTGCCGGGCAAGAGCCTGGAGGAGCAGAACGAGGTCATCGGCATGCACGCCGCCATGAAGTACATCAACGCCACCCTGTTGTCCCGCATCGGCTCCGTCACCACCAGCGATGTGCTGGAGATCCACAGGCGGGTGCTGGGCTATGTGGACCCCGTGGAGGCTGGCAGGTTCCGGACGACCCAGGTCCTGGTGGGACACCACATCCCCCCGCATCCCCAGGACGTGGAGAAGCAGATGCACGAGTTCATCCAGTGGCTCAACTCGGAGGACGCCATGCACCTGCACCCCGTGGAGTTCGCCGCCCTGGCCCACTACAAACTCGTCTACATCCACCCCTTCATCGACGGCAACGGGAGGACGTCGCGCCTGCTCATGAACCTCATCCTCATGCAGGCCGGCTACCCGCCCGTCACCATCCGCAAGGAGCAGCGGGCCGAGTACTACCACGTGCTAGAGGCCGCCAACGAGGGCGACGTGAGGCCCTTCATCCGCTTCATCGCCAAGTGCACCGAGACCACCCTGGACACCCTGCTCTTGGCCACCACCGAGTACTCGGTGGCGCTGCCGGAAGCCAACCCCAACCATTCTGGGTTCAAGGAGACCCTTCCCGTGAAGCCCTAGCCCCGGTGACAAGGCAAGGTAGGGAAGGGATCAAAGAGACAGCATTTCTAGAAACCTCGCATCTCCAAAAGCAGAACAGACCTTTGAAGTCTTTACCTCTTTTTTTTTTTCCTGGTTAAAAAAAAAAAAAAAACTAAATTATTAAGCCTTAGTCTCTTTAAGATAATTTATAATTCAACAGTTATTTATTTTCTTCTTTTGAGCAAGCCAGTCGTGGGTGGTGTCCACTGTGGCTCTGCTGGTGGCTGCTCTGATCAGTGGTCCCCCCACCGCAGGAGCACTGATGCTCCTGTGTGACCAGAACCCGGGTTCTGGAGCAGAATTTGCACTAAGGCCAGGGAGAGAGGCCAAGCCTTTCTCTGAAACTGGCTGTGAGCAGTGTGTGGCTCAAAGGGGAGTCAGCAGTCCCAGGGAGAAGCCATCCCAGTTCTTGGGAGAGAGAGCATCTTCTTGGGGTTTGGTTCCCCTCCCAAGAGACGAGCGTAGTGGCTTTCCCCAGGAGCGCCACCGTTTGAGGTAGGAAATGAATGTGACATTTCTAGTGGGACTCCTTGCTCGTCTCTGGGAAGGCTCTTTGAGCACTTGAGTGCTGGAAGCTGTTTTTCATAAGGAGACTATTTTTCTAATTCAGGAGGGGAGGGCGGCCAGCCTGGCTTCTTAGTGCATCAGCTTCTCCTTGCACTCCACTCACAGCAGCGGGGCCCAGAGCTTTCTCTGGGGCTCAGCGTCCTTGGGTCAGCGACCCCCTGCACCCAGCTGCCCAGGAGGCCAGCCCTCCCTCCCCCTGCAAGCTCCCTGTTGATCTTAGGGCATATCCAAGAAAGATGCCCCATCAGCCCGTTAAGCATTTCTGATACTGAGCTAGAGCCCTGCCACAGCCAGGAGGGTCCCTGTGGGGTGGTTTTGCCCCTCACAGACCTGGCCTCACCTCACATAGCCCCTCTGCTGTCCAGCCTCCCATCGAGGAAGCGGGAGAGGTTGCCTCCGAGTGGCTGTATTTTTCTAGCAACCTGCAAAATGACACAGTGTCATAAATAATATGGCCAGGTTTCCAACCTGTCATCTCACAGAAATAGAATCTTCTCTTCCAATCACAGGTGGCACAAGTTCCAATTGGACTGCTGCTAGTTAGTGTCAGAATGGCCAAAACTCACTAGCGTACTTGCCCAGGGACAGAGCCTGCAATGTGACACTGCACTGCACTTTGTCATGGTCGAGAATCACAACGTGCTGTTCTACCTTTGCTTTTAAGATTGAGTTCCTGACAGCCATGCGGTCACTGCTCAGACAGCAGCAAATGTCTGTAGTCATTCACAATGGCACAGAGTGGTTTTCTGGAAGGTTCAGAAAAATAAGTGCAAAGGCGTATGCAGTGGTCCTTCTGCCCGTGCATCCAGGTGGTATCTTCTGCTGTCTTGGTTTGTAACTGGTGACAAGGAAGCGTGGCAGGAGTGTGTGCTTTGTCCTTTAGAATTTGCACTTTAGCTACATGTGAAGAATGTTATTTTAACAAATTACTGATTCTAATAAAGTATTTTATTACATAAAGGTCAGACTCTGCCGCCTTACTCAAAGGGTATTTCCAGTGATCAGAAGGAGAGGGCGCTGTGAATGCCACCCTGCCCTTACATCATCCTGGGACAGCAGACCTAGGATGGTGGTGTCAGGAGGCAGGACAGAGCTGGTTGCATGAACTGCCTTCCCAGGCTAATGGGCAGGAAATATTGATTTTTTTTTTTTTAACTGATTCAAAATGACTTTTCGTGTCTGTCTTTACCACCAGTTCTTGATTTCTGAGGAAATCACAAAAGCCCCCTCACATTCTCAGAAACCCACACTACAGCAGCCAGCAGCCAGCTTCTCCAGGGTCCTGCTGAGTGTCCAAAGGCTCCTCCATCACCAGCCCACGTGGACAGCGGAAGTGAGGTCCGCCCGGCCAACAGCAGGGATCAGGGCAGGGCCTGGGACACAGCCAGAGGTGGGCCCCTAGGCCCTGCAGTGGGGAGGACGCTCGGGCAGGCACAGGTTCCCTCGGAGCCCCCAATCACCTAGCCACCAGCAGGCTTCACGGTGACCAGAAAAGGGACAGACCCAGGAGGCACCAGGGCCATGCGAGGCTCCTACTGCCGACAGCGGCTGCCCGAGCTGCTTCCAGAGGTAATGCAAAGAAAAGGGAGTTTGTTTTGTGTAAAGAGAAAGACCAAAGGGGACCCTGCATCTCGAAGGTCCTAAGACATGATCAACCGGCAATCACTTACAAGGAGACACGGATGCTGACTAGACACTCTGGGTCACCAGTGACCTTAAGGTATCATTGCTAACGTTTCTCAGGGTGAAAAACAACTGGCCCTTAGGTCCTTCTCTCTCAGGTTAGTCGCACGAGCTGCTATCTGCCTCAAGGTAACAGCAGGAGGTGGAAGGGACAGTGCGGCAAGGGGACGGTGAGGCGAGGGCCCTACCGGGTGCAGGAGAGCTGGCACTCGGAGTCAGGCAAGCAGGTCTATCTAGTTTCATGGTTCTGCCTGTTCAAAACTTCCTGTTAAAAAATGTCAAGTTATGGGGCTGGGGTTGTGGCTCGGAGGTACGGTGCTCACCTAGTATGCGTGAGGCACCGGGTTCGATCCTCAGCACCACATAAATAAAATAAAGATATTAACAAAAAAAAAAAAATGTAAAGTTACAAAAAATGCAGGAAAGCGTGGCTGATGCACAGAAACAGCTTCACAAAACAAACACATGAGGAGCTGGTCTCCACTGCAGGGAAGGGCCCCCACCGTGCTCCTGGGGGCCTAGGTCAGGGCAGGTCCCCCAGCGCAGCCAGGCTGCTTTCAGGCCACTTGCTAAGTGTCTGGTGAGGTGAGAGGTAAAAACGCCAAGTGTCAAACCACCATGAACTCCAGTCCAAGACTGAAGACGCATCGCTGCTGGAGGAAAGTCCTGGGAGGTCTGACTTAGAAAACTCCAGTTTACACCTGCGACCCGTGACCAAACGCCAGTCTGTGATGCACAGCTGAGGACCACGCAAGGTGACTCAAGAGAACTCCGTTTAATCAACAAAGCTAACTGGGAGAACTGAAGTATTTAAACAAAACCCAAGGCTGAACCCCAATCTCTAGACCCAGAATGACTAGTCACTAGCAAAGAAAATGGTCCACGCGGGATTCCTATAGAAAACACATGTCGCAAATATTTTGCTTTTAGGAAACATAAAACAACAGTCGACGTGTGGTTTACAAATACATAATAGAAAAAAACAACCCCTGTGAACAAAAGCCCACCAAGTGCTGGGTGTGGGGCCCCGGCCCCTGCCCCCGCCCCTTACTAAAATAGGCCGTTCTGGTGAGTCGCCAGCATCCGCCATTTCTCATCTTTTAAAAATTAAAAGTGACGGGCACGTGTGCTGTGCAGGATGGGGGAGAAATGTCTTACAAAAAGGGCCAGAGGTGGCCCGGAGCATTGGGACAAGTGGGTCTCAAGAGCCATGTTCCAGTGTCACTTCTGCTCCTCATTTTTCAGGACACAAAAGTCCGTAGGGACAGGCGCCCTGCCGGCCGTGCCCTGCTCCACTGCCCTCAATGTGAGGGAGCACTGGGCGCCTCTTCCCCTGGACACTGCCCCGTCTGAGCCCCGCGGAGTCCAGGGGCGCAGGAGTGTGCACAGCCCCTCCTTGGCCCAGGCGCTGCTGGGTGCTGGGTGCTGGGTGCTGGGTGGGCTGCCTGACCAGCGGGAAGTAAGGCATTTCCTGTCCTTCACAGCGTCGCTTTCACTTTCTCAGAAGCAACTTGGCAAAATCAGCGTTGGACATCTTGGGCGCCTCAGCAGCCTCAGAGGTGGGGACTGCTGGGCGTGGGGCAGGGCCGTTCTCGGCCTGACCGGCAGCAGCACCCGGGCGTTGCAGGGCACGCGGCAGCAGAGCGAGCTGGGTCCTTCCCTTCCCCCGCCTGCAAGGACAGACACAGAACGCACCCTGAACAACGAACGGCTCGTGGCTCCAGACTGAATCATGAAACAAGCCAGGAGAGCCCCAAGCACCCCAAGTTAAGGACAGGGATGGAGTGGCTTCTAGTATCCGCCTCCTGGGTTCCAGCCCCACTACCGCAAAACACAAATTTAATTAAAAACAGAGCTGTCTAAATTAGCCAGAATTAAGAGATGAAATATAAAAACAAGGCTGATGAGATGAGCCTTGTATCCTGGCTAGTAAAGGAAATGCACTCGACAAACTCTGCCTGTTCACAATTCAGACGGAGACCAGCCGTGTGCGACACACTGGTGGGAAGAAATGCCACCATCTCGTTGGCTCTTCTGTATCGGGCACAGAACGGCATGGCCACAGCCAAGGGGGAGTCCAGCAGAACCAACTCAACCTAGACCAAGAGCAGGGAAGGGTGACAGCCAGAGATTTCCGTTTGACTGTGTTCTGGGGTGGGGTGGGTCAGCCGGGCTGGATCAATGGGCTTCTGGTTTTAATATTTTCCCCTTTTTTTCTCCCCATTTTTTCTCGGAGTCTTGCCATGTAGCCTGAGTTCCTTTAGGAACTTGGGATGGGACTGTCAGAAGCTCCCAGCATCCACACTGGGGGAGCAGCGGGCCATCTGCTGGACAGGTAGCCCTAGAACAGGCAGGTTCTAGGAGTAGTAGGAGGAGGAGGCAGGGGATTCCCTGCCGTGGAGCTGGAGGTGGCCGGAAGCCAGGCGGCATCTCTGCTGCACCTGGAGCTGCAAGGCCCTGCTGAGTGCCCCAGTGAAACATCACTGGGTCCTCCACGCCCCCTCTATTTTGCTGTGTCATTGCTGACAGTGCCCCACCCCATCTTCATGTAACTTAACAAACACTCACCCTAGATTTTTATTAGCCAAAATATTTTTGTTCTGAATAACATTGTTACTGGGCCAAAAGACAGGCCAGGAGCTGGGGCAGCCTCTGCTTGGGTTTGGTTTAGACAAACCTGGAGGATAAAGCACAGCTGTCCACTGCATTATCTGAGCAAAAAACTACCATAAATAACTTTGTCTTTTGTCAAATAAAGTTGTTCTCCTTTTTGTTTATAAAAAAAAAAAAAACCAAGGCTGCCATCTCTTGGACGCTACTGTGTGACCATGCCATCCTGTCAGCCCCACGAAGAGAAGAGAAAGCCCAGCTCGTGTGGAGATGACAGCTACAACCCAGGAAGAGCAAGCAGGACAATCGTCGGGTTTTATCTTCAGGTTAATCAGCAAAGGGGACTTCAAAATAACTCCTGCCTCAGTGCTTTTCACTTCAGAATGAACGACACATGTAAACTGGCAAACAACAGCAGGTCTGCCTCCCAGGCCCACGCCCTCTGGGACTCGCTGGGGAGCCCGTGCTCCAGCAGAAAAACCCCAGGATCACTGGAGGAGCAGCGGGGCCTGGCCTCCCGTCCTGACTCCCCAGACCTCCCAGCCCTGGAGGCCCCCTGCCGCATGCTGCCAGCACAAGCCCCACCGGACTGGCAAGGGACACTTACGCTCCATATATCTGCCGTGGCACCATGGGGCCACCTGGTGCTCTCCTGGCCTCTGGCTTCTCTGGAACTTTCCTCTGAGGGGGGTTACTGATGGCCACTTTAATGACATTCTCTTTGACTGTCATGCCGTCCATCTTCATCACAGCCTGCGAAGCCTGGGACTCATTTTCATACTCCACGTAGGCCAGACCCTGGGGGGAAGAGACCAGGGCCGTCAGGCGCGCAGACCCAGGACGCAACGTCCTCTCAGGGCCAGGGAGCCTGGCGTCCTCGGGAAAGCAGCAGACAGCTTATCAGCTGGTCCCCTCCCCACTGCTGACACCCCCTGTCCACAGTTCACTCCAGGCCCCACTCGGCTTCACTACAGCCCTCCTGATTTTCACACCAGAAAAACCTCTCTGGGATCGGCAGGCCCTGGGCTTGCTCAGAAGAAAAAGAGACGGGCGAAACCCCGAGGAGGAGAACCAGAGGGGGCAGGGGTCCTCTTCAGTCCCTTCAGTGTCTTCAGTTCTCAACCTGACTGGGGGTGAGGTTTGAAAAGAAATCCAAAATCATGCTTAAAAACACGACTTGAGAGGCTGGGATTGTGGCTCAGCACGAGCGAGGCTCTGGGTTCGATCCTCAGCACCACATAAAAATAAACAGACAAAATAAAGGTATTATGTCCAACTACAACTAAAAAATATATTTAAAAAAAAAAAAAAACACTACTTGAAATGTGGTGCAAAAGGGCCAAGGGCAGAGGCACACGCCTGAGGCCCCAGCCACTTAAGAGGCTGAGGCAGGAGGATCACTCAAGCACAATAATTGGGAGACCAGGCTAGATGACACACCAAGACCCCGACTCAAAGAAACACACCCGTGAGCTGGGCTGGGGCTCCGAGGGAGAGCGCTTGCCTAGCACAGGTGAGACACTGGGTTCCATCCTCAGCACCACATAAAAATAAATTAAAAATAAAGGTATTGTGTGAAAAAACACATGTATCATTAAAAAAAATATGCACATATACACACATATGCCTGTATATACATGTAGGTGTGCATATACACACGCACATGGTGCAAGAGGAATTAACAGGATGTGGAGGGGCAGGAAGGAGGAGGAAAGAGCAGACCAGTGGAGGGACTACGGGCACTGGCTGGAGGCCCGGGAAGGAGAAGAGTGTGGGGGGGTGACACTGCAGCCAGGGGCCACACTGTGGCTTCTATGAAGGCTAAAACTTACTTTCCAAATGCCTTTTTCATTTTTGGTACATTTGTTACTTAAAGTTAGCCCGATCCACATGAAAGTACAGCCAAGCGAGCTCCTCCTCCCACCATATCACCACCCTGTCTTAGGAGATAAGCCAGGAGCCCCTCCAGCTCAGAAGGCTAGGCACCATCTGCACCAACACAGACCTTTGGTTTGCCAGCCCTGTTGGTGACCAGCCTGAGGTCCTTCACAGTGCCATGGGCCTTACAGATGTCCTCCAGTTCCTCTTTAGTGCAGGAGAAGGGCAGGCCGGAGATGAAGAGCTTGTGTTTCTCCAGGGCGGTGCTGTACCGGAACACCTGGGGGAGGGAGGGAAGGGAGGACCCCCATCAGGCCAGGCAACATGGACGGTCACCCGGGGCACGCCCCGCCAGGCAGCCCAGAGCCAGACCTGGGATTGGAACCTAGTAACAGAGTCGCCTGGCAAGTCTCTTCAGGCCGCAATTTTTCCTCCAAAAAATGGCAAGAATAAGAGCAGCCATTTGCAGAGGATGGGTGGGCAGCCACAGTAGCACGGTCACCTGCCACTCAGCACACAGCGTCACCACCACCTAGTCAGCTGGTCCAGCTCAGGACACCGGGCCCTGCGTAGGTGCCCACACAGACCAGCTCCCTGCGGGGCGGCGGGTGGAACCCGAGCATGGGGGAGCATGCGGAGCGCAACCCTCCATAGCAGACCTTAAAATCAGGGTTCTTGCTCTTATCCACACAGGGGGACACGAACATCGGCCTCCCTTCCATGTTCTTCCGGTCCAGCTCCAGGGCCTTCAGGGCAGACTGCTCTTCTTTGAACTCCACATAGCAGTAGCCTCGAAAGTCCCCGCGGTTGCTGAACACGGGCCGGATCTCCACCACCTCCCCGCAGGCCTCGAAGAGAGGCCGGAGCTTGGCAGCGGGCTCCCCCATGCTGTAGGGCAGGTTGCTGACGAAGACGGTGACACTGTCCTTGCTGCTGTCGTGCAGCACCTTGGGCACCTCCCGCCTCAGGGCAGCGGCCTTCTCCTTCTGCTTGGAGGGGGGGCCGACGTCCACAGGGGCAGGCTTCTCGGGGAGCCCCTTCTCCTGGCCCGCGTCTGGCTCTGGCCCGGCCGGGGCCACGCTGTTCTCCACCCTCCTTCGCTTGGAAGGCTGCTCTGCAGGTAGCAAAAGACAAGCGGCAATGGTTGGCTGTCGGCTGCCCGCCTTCAGCACGCAGTGCAGGGACCCCTCTCCCGCCACAGACAGGAGTCTGCAGCAGATACTAGGGTGGCAGGCCCCCGCCCCTGGAGGTCTTCCACGACCCTGCTGACCTGCCCCGCAATTTTCTGAGCCCCCATTACAATGCAGTGCGTGGGCCACATCATGGGGAAGTAATGACAAATCCCCACGTACACTCTTAATTGCAGGGGTGATCAGAGGCCCGCCTCGGGTCAGCAGGGTCCCTCTACCCTCTCACAGAGCCCGGGCAGCACAAGGGCAGACCTGAAAGCCACACAGAAACCACACCCGGTAAAGGACGTGCAGGCGACACAGAGACACCTGGAAAGCACAGCCGCAGGCCTTCTTCCCACAACACTCTGGGCGCTGCCTCGCTTCCTGCAACAGACCCTCCCCATGGCCCTGCAGAGGACCAGCAGGCCTCCCATCGGTCCCCCTGCTGCTCCCCGAAGGCACCTGGGCCCTCGCCCAGCTGCATGGCTGGCCTGTCCCCACCACTGCCTCGGCCCCTCTGCCAGCATCTGGGATCACACCCAATCCTGCGCTCTCAAAGCAGAGCTGTCCGTGCAGCCATGTTCCCTCGCAGCTCTCTGCCCGGGCCCCTCCTCCCTGTCCTGGCCCAGAAGCCGCATCCCTTCTCCCACGAAGCCTCCTGGCAGGGAACTGAGCCTGGCACCTCTGGCCTCCGCCTGGATCTCAACCTCCCCACAGTCCTGACTGCTCCCAAGTCCATCCACCTTACCCTGTAACTTGGGGGCTCTGAGGGCAGTGGCCACAGTCAGTCACTTCTGAAGGCCCAAACAGGTGTGCAAGAAAGGCCAACGGAATGGAGGCTGCGTCTGCACCTCCCTCTGTGGCCACAGCTATGCTAGGGAAACACTCAGAGGCCCTAATGTCCCAAGACGATTCTTCACTGTGACAGGACTTCCCTGGATCAGTTCAGACCTCACCTGCCAGGAAAGACCAGATGGGAGCCCGGCCTCAACACCACCGGGGGCTGGGCCAGGAGGCGCCTGTGGGGCACAGCGGCTGGTGCTGGCACTGGAGCCCAGTGGGAGGGGGACTTGGGTACATGGGTTGGTGACTGAGGCCCAGCTTGGGATAAAGCAGTCAGGATGGGAGGGAGAGGAAGACACCCAGGCAGGAGGGCCCTGGGCATGGCCTGACAGGACATGAAGCCCAAGTGCCGGGCACACCGGCTGTGGAGGGCAGCACCCAGAGCGGGCACGGGAGGCCCAGAGGCGAGGGGAGCAGCAGGCCAGGAGCCGGGCACACAGCCAGGGGACAGACAGCGCAGGTGAGCATGCTGAGGGTGACAGGAGCAAGTTTCTCAGGTGAGAGAGGGCACGGTGAGCACTAAACGGCAGAAAACCAGAAGGAACCCTGTGGTGTGGACTCACACCAGGACCCGCGTTTACACAAGTTCCACGCAAACAGGTGTCCCCAGCACGAGCACTCAGAGGCCTGGGAGCACAATCCCCAACAGCAGTGAGGATATCTGGCACCTGCCAAGTGCCATGCAGTGTCCTTGGAGAACAGGGACCCTAGGCTGGGCCACAAGGGGATGCACTGCCTGAAAGGACACAAGGGGTGAGACCGCAAGAGCAGGTCCAAGGACACGGAAGCCCGCTCACAGGAGCTCCTGGAGCCAAACTGGGACAAGAGCTTCAACATAAATGACCACACTAACAGACTGTAACCAAGGAAAACCGGGGTCCATGATCCCTATGACACGGAGGAGGACTAGAAGTGAAGAGAACCGGATCTTATCTCCTCTCAATAAGGCAGAGGCCCGTCAGGAGAAAAGAGCAAGCCAGCAGGCGCCACCTCAGTCACATCACCAAGGTGACCCAAATCACATGCCACCGGAAGGGATTCAATGGGAAGGTGCTATTCCTGCCAAAGAGGCGTGACCTGACTGGGCATGCATCAGGAAACCCACCCGGAGGAACCTTCTCCAAGTTAACTGGCCTGACTTCTTCAAGTGTCCTGGTCAAGGGAGCCAAAGGGACATTGCAGACTGGAGGAGACTCGAGACACGGGACAGCTCAACACAAAACTAGATCCTCCTATTGAAAGGACACCAGCAGCACCAAAGGCAGGCACTGGGGGTTCTGAGGATCCACAGGCAGGAATGGAGGTGAGCTGCTCCTGGCTCTTGGTTTTGGGGTTGGAGTACCAGGGACTGAGCCCAGGGGTGCTTAACCACTAAGCCACACCTCAGCTCTTTTTGCTTTCTATTCAAAATCTGCGCCCCCTGCCTCGGCCTCCCCAGTCGCTGGGATTACAGGCGGGCAGCACCACGCCCAGCCGGGCCCCAATGGCAGCCAGGTTTGCGGGACAAGCTCTGAGAAGTCCACGAGCAGTGTGCGGACACACGGCCTCAAGTGAGCCGGGGAGAAAGTCTTTGTACCCTTTTTGCAAATTCTCTGGAGGTTTGGGGGTGTCAAGGTAAAGCCTCTGAGCAGCCCCCTACCTTCGCCGTCCTCGCCCCACTCCTTGCCCTCCTCGGCCTTGCGCTTGTCCCCGCCGCCGCCCGGCTGCTGCTTCTTTCTCAAGGCTTTCTTCTCCGCTCGCACCCTCTTGCGCTGCTCTGCCTTCTGCTCTTCCTGCTGCGCCAGAGCCGCCTCCTTCTCTGCAGCCTGGAAGGGAAGGGGCAATGTTGTTTATGTTAAACGTAATGGACATTATTTTTAAAGAATATTTAAGAACCTACTTCTTGGCTAGGGATATAGCTCAGTTGGTAGAGCACTTGCCTTGCCTCGGCTTGTGAGAGGATGAGACAGGGAAGGGGAAGGGCAGACGGGTGGGCAGGCGCTGCCAGCAGCCCCACCGCCGGCACCCAAGGCCCACAGGGTCTGGACCTCAAACCCATGCTCACAACGCCCTCAGCCTGTCCCCAAGAGGAAGGAGGACAGGACCAGGGTCCCTAGCTAGGCCGACAGAGGCTCCTTCTCATTCTTTCCCATCTAATCCCATGAATTTGGGGGCCAAAATTCCCCCAGTACATTGTTAAAGCCAAAGTGTTCAGTGAATGTAAAAAGATACAAGTTGAAACACTGATTCAGTATTTTATACCTCACAGACCTATGGCTCACGTGCATCTCTTATGAAGGCCTAAAGGTTTTGAAGAGAAACACCCACACCAAACAGGCAAGAGCTCGAGGGGCTCCAGAGACCCCAACACGCATCACCGTTACCTTCACCCTCTGCTCGGTCACGCGCGCCAACCGGGTCTCAGTTTTCTGAACAGCTATGTCCCAGTCTTCTAAAGTACCTTGATGGGAAGAGAAGCAAAAGTTTACTCCTTCTGTTTTTGAAGGACTTAAAAATATACATTTGTCTTATTTTCCCACACCTCCAGAAGCCACCTCTCCCTAATCACAAGAACTGGAGAGTTCCTCGTTTTAAAAAATTTATTTCACGTAGGCTTCAAGTTTAGAATTCAAATCGTCCCAGATATGCTTCAATTGCCCCTTTTATGACTTGAAAGCCAGGATCTGACCTCTTATGGCAAAGATCATGAAAATACTCTGATATGAAAGGTCACGAGACATTTGCACTAAGACTGAACAATGTTAAGAGTGACCAAATGTTGCAGAGCTGTTCCTGTTGCTGTCTGGGGGTCTGATCTCCAAGACTGAGGCTCACACCCCCAAACCAGACAAATGCCCACAGATAAATTCTCGTTGGTCCCTCCTGGCTCTCGTTCATCTCCACAAAGGACACGGGCGTGACGCCAGAACTCAGGGGCTGCTGCCACCCTGAGCACCCTGGCACTGCACACAACGCGCTCGCTAGAGCACAGCTCTCCACCAAGGGACATCTGACAGCGTGGGCAGGCATGTTTGACTGTCATGGTTGGCTGGGGCGAGGGCTGCTTCAGCTTCTAACAGGCAGAGGCCAGAATGTGGCTAAGTGTCCCATAACATACAGGACAGCACAGAGCGCCACAAGAAGCCCTGGGCCGGGGCCACACCTCAGAGCCTGGCAGCTGGAGACTGAGCAGAGTCCCAGGGCTTACTCCCTCCGTAAGGCCTCACGACAGTCTAATCACACAGCACCACCTGCCAGGCTGTGTCATGGCCACTGCCACAGGGCCACAGTTGGTCCTTACAGACCATAAAGATGCTCCCACTGGAGATAGAGCCACAAACAGGTGGAATCCAAGCCCGTCGGGGCCGAGGTCGCACCTTCCATCCTCTCCATGGTGAGCAGCACCTCACACACGTGCTCGGGGTAGTCGCTGGTGCACTGCACGGCCCGGTGCAGAGCCTTGCGGCAATGCTGTGTGTCGCCGTGCGCCCTAGGACAAGAAGCAGAGAGTTGCTGCCACCAGGGTGTAAAGCAAAGTGCACAGGAAGGGAGGGCTGCTTCCACGGTGGGTTCCCTAGACACTAGTTTCCCAGGGGACCCCGCTTTCCTCCTGCCTCCACCAGTCCCCTCAGCCGCCCAGGGAGGCATTCTCGGGACCGCCCTGCAGGTACCCCTGGAGAATGTCCCCAGGGTGCAGTCAGCAGCCAGGGTGTCCGTCTCTGTAGCACATGGAGGTGCAACACGTGGGGCAGAGGCCCAGCAGGTCTAGTCACTTGACAAGAGAAATCCCACGCAGTCCAACCAGGGGGACGCACCTGCCATGCCTTCAGTCAGAGCATTTGGTGGTGACATGGAAAGATGCCACCAGTCGCGACACACGAAACAAGCCTTTAACCTCAGTTATGTTCCCATTTGTTTTTTAAAAAGTACCAAAGTACATAAATATTGTGAAAATGGATTAAGACACTCAGAAAAAATTCAGAGTGTGGTTCCCAAAGTATGACCCATGTACCCCGAGATCTCTTGGCTCCAGGACGCTCTCTGGGGGTCTGCAAAGTCAGAGCACCAAAATGTCACTGGATTTGTGCACTGTGTGACATTTGCATGGTGGCTCTTCATATAAAGTAAGGCAGACACACCTGTTTAACATTCTGTGAGACACACTGGGAAGTACACATAAAGCACCTCTGCTGACACTGAAGGACAAAGAAAAGTGTTGCAAAGAAAAGCGTGTGGCACTATTTGAGTCGCGACCTGAATTGGTCACTTTTTTTTTCACAGAACAGTTTTTACTTGAAAGAACAGCTGAACGACAAGCTATGGGCACTGAGACTATGTTTCACATGTTGCTTCCGAAAATTAATGAAGTCAGTCTGCCACACCAGAGAAAACCACTGATGCTACTTGTTGCCAGTGATAAAATCTGAGCTGCTAGCTGGGCAAGCTTGGCACGCCGTCACCCCAGCACCTCGAGGCTGAGGCAGGAGGAGCGTAAATTCAAAGCCAGCCTCAGCCACTTCACGAGGCCCTAAGCACTCAGCAAGACCCTGACTCTAAATAAAAAGGGCTGGGGATGTGGCTCAGTGACTCACTGCCCCAGGATTCAATCCTGGAACCAAAAACAATCAGAGCTTCTAGGTGAAAATTAGAGTTTGGGAAAATCTGCATGTGCCACTGTGAGTCTGAAACATTCCTACTTAAAAGACTTTTCTACCAAGTGCAGTAAGGATGTGAACAAATACAGTGTTTTTATACTGTAGAATGAAATGTGTCAACACATGGAAAGCTGCATGATCATCAGGCACGATGTCCAGAATCTCAGCACCAGGTACAAGTCCATGCAGGGCTGGGCTGGGGCTCAGCGGGAGAGTGCTTGCCTAGCACCTGTGAAGCGCTGGGTTTGATCCTCAGCACCACATACAAATAAATACATAAAATAAAGGTAGATTTCATCTACAACTAAAGAACAATTTTTTTAAAAAAGTCCATTCAAAGTGTGAATTAAAGCCAGGCGTGTCATCATGTGCCTGTGATCCCAGCACTGAGGCTGAGGCAGGAGGATCACTTGAGTCCAAGAGTTTGAAAGCAACCTGGGCACCATAGCAACCCTCCCCACCCACCACCACCCCACCAAAAAAAAAAAAAAAAAACCTAAGTGCAAACTAGACACATAGATATTAATATAACTAATTAGGGAATATTCATTAACATGGTTTCAGATATACATTCTAAACGACATTTAAGAACCTATTTCTTGGCTGGGGATATAGCTCAGTAGGTAGAGCACTTGCCTTGCCTCGCATGCATAAGGCCCGGGGTTCAATCCCCAGCACCACCATAAAAATTAAATAGATAGATACTACATATTTATTTCATTATTTGTACATAAAAATGATATTTATTTTATTATTTATAAATACTGAGATCTGTGTTTCACATATTTATATTTATTTACATTAATTTGTTTATCTGCTTATTTATTTTGTGGTGCTGGACACTGTGTATGCAAGGTCTCTACCAACTGAGCTATATTCCCAGCCTATGATCTTTAATTAAAAAAAAAAAAAAGAACTTAAGTAATTACTTAAACCAGGCATAGTGGCACACTCTTATAATCCCAGCAGCTCCAGAGGCTGAGACAGGAGGATTACAAATCCAAAGCCTCAGCAACCTAACAAGGCTGTCTCAAAATATAAAATGAAAAAGGGCTGGGGGTGTGGCTCAGAGGTTCAATCCCTGATTTAAAAAAAAAAAAAAAAAAAAAAACTATTACTTGTTGCATTCAGCCAAGTCTGGAAGGAGAATATCTACCATTAACTAAAAGACTAGTACTAAACAGCCCTTTCTTTCCTAACCTCATCGGTGTGAGGCCAAATTCTCTTTATATTTTCCAATGAGAATAATCATAGCAGATGAAGAAACTGACAGAAAAATTCAGTTGTCTTCCATTAAGCGAACTGAAGAGACAGCAAAAAGAGAAGACCGTACCACTTTTCTCACTAAACTGTTTTAGAGTTTGGAAAACAATCATTTCTCCAAGAAATGTTGTTTATGTTAAATGTAATGGACATTATTTTTAAAGAATTAACAAAAAATATTTTAAATTTCTGTTTTTCTAATTGGATGAATATTGATATAATCCACACAGATGAAAGCTCTTTGGGGCTTCCCAGTTTTAACAGAGTAAGGGGATGCTGCGACCCAAAGGCGTGAGAACCGCTAATCTAGAGAAACTTGCTGATAACGCCAAGGTCGCGGGTCCGTTCCCCGACGGACCACCAAATGCCGCAGTCTGGCTGGGCACAATTCAGGAGCCACTTGTCAAAAGAAACTAACTTTATTTTTAGAACTACAAACGCCAAACAAAACAGCTCCTCAGGAAAAAAACCCTCAGAGCCCAACTGCCACCACCGGCTTCCACAAGCCTCTCACCCCCACACCAGCCTCTCAACCTCCCACAATCCTCCTGCTCTTGAGGCCAATTGGCTGGGTTGTGTGGGCAGAGCCAAAGAAGTGCCCCAATGAGCAGCTCTGTGGAGGAGCCAATCAGCTAGATGTTGCTGGGGCCGCTGTGAGCCAATCATCAGCTGGCAGTCTGAAGGGCAGGGAACAGCCCAATGAACATCACTGCAGAGGAGCCAATCAGCTAGATGTTGCTGGGGCCACTGTGAGCCAATCATCAGCCAGCAGCTGGAAGTTTGCTGGCAGCTGGAAGTTTGCTGGGGCCCCTTTGGCTGTGGCTCTCAACATCAAAACAGTCAACAAGCTCCAAAAGTGGCCCTCTCTGGGGTCAGGGTAAGAATGTCCATCATAGATTTTTCTATCATATATTTTTGTCTCTGTGCTTTTTCAACTTGAGCACAATTGCTTTTTTAAATAAGGGAAATAATAAAATACTCAAAAAAGGAACAAAGTAGTACAGAAATACATATGACATGTAATATCCAAGACATACTGAACAGAATAGCTGGTCACATTCTCTGTCCCTTCCCCATGTGATAAATATTAGTGGACAGATCGTCTAATTCCAACAGTTTTAAAGGTTTGAAAATTATGTACGCTATAACTGCCTTTCCATTTTAAAGAAATTTGAGCACCAAAAAGTCTCAAAAAATACACCCCAAAACCCTAACAAACAAGCTAGAGATGTAGCTCGGTGACAGAGAGCTTGTCTGGCATGGCGAGGTCCTGGGCTGTTTCCCTACTGCCACAAAAATAAACATGAACTGACCCTGGTTAAGTATGAGTCACAAGTTTTCAATTTCTTTGAATTTTCTTCTCTTTGCTTTTTAGTGCTATTTTCTTATAAAATCAAATATAATTTTTTAAAAAGATCCCAAAAGAGTCAAATAAAATATTCATGTCCAAATAAAAGAACAAAGAATTAAAAAAAAAATAAAGAGCCCCATGGCCTGAAGAGTCCCCCACAAAATGCTATTAGCTTCTCCAGCCCTGCCCACTGGTCAGACAGGGATAAGGACGGCCAACGCAGCAGGAGTCACCCAAGACACCCCCTCCAGCCCCGGGTGGTTACCTTTCCAGGTTGTAGTACTCCAGCCACATGTTGGCGTACTTGGCGTTTCCTTTGGTCATGATGCTGTCCCAGAGTTCCCGAGCTTTCTGCATGTTATTGCACAGTCGCGCCTGTGAGGCAGCAGCAAGCCCAGTGAGGAAGGACCCGGCCATCCCGACATCAGCACTGTCACAAAGCCTGCTCACAGACACGCCTGAGGAGCCCCCCACTGCTACCAGTGTTGCATGCACTCCAGAGGGTTCCAGGCTTCCCCCTGTGACAACAGGCCAACCACTGGTGCCCTCTGCTGCAGCAAGCCTCAGAGGACCTGCCGAGGCCTCTTGTGAACAGAGCGGCACACTCCAGCGCCCACTCAAAGCATGGGAGGAGGGTCATTTGCTTTCTGTTTCTACTGAGCTTCATTGCAAGGGTTCAAGTTCAGAGCAATGCACAGACAGAACGACTGACCTGGCATTAGACACCAGTTAATAAGCCCCCTGACCTAAGGCCCCTAGCCTGAGCATGTTGCCCAACCTCTCTGAGCCTGGGATCCTCGTCCTTAAAGTACCCACAAGCCAGACCACCTATACGGAAACTACCTGACAAGCGTGAGCTGCTTTGGCCTGACTCGCTCAGAGAGTACTCCATGGCTCAATCAGTTTGATGTCCCTGGATCGGAATAACATTCCCTATATCCACTCATATTTTTGCCAAATCATCCTCTTCTGCCTGGATTAAGACCTGAGCAGCGCAGACAGCCTCTGTGCGACTCCCACACGCAGCTTGCTCCCGCAGAGGAAGCAACAAGGGAGGGGGACCTAGCACTAGAGGACCTAGCCACACGGCCCAGAGGCTGTCCCCACCAAGACAAAAACAAATGTTCAGGGTGGGGCTGGAGCTTGGGCTCAGTGGGAAAGCCCTCGCCTGGCTTGTATGAGGCCCTAGGTTCGAACCTCAGCACCACATATAAATACACAAAATAAAAGATCCACTGACAGCTTTAAAAAAAAAAAAAAACAAAAACAAATGTCCACCATGCTAGGTAAATAACACAAATCCTTAAGACTCTAGAACACCCCGGGATTCTAACTGTATTCCACAACACTATTAATAAGGACCCTTCAGAGGTGAATGAAACTCAAGAAATGTCCACAGGTTTACCTCGATCCTAGCCCAGTTTTGCATGATCACGCAGCTCGGATCTCCACTCTCATTGAACCCTTTAAGAATGGAATTAGTGCAAATCAGAAAGGAGTCCGAGGCAAACCCTGTCGGCTGGGCAGGCAGGGCAGAGAGGGCAGGAGGGCAGGGAGGGTAGGAAGGGAGGGAGGGAGGGAGGGAGGGAGGGAAGGAGGAAGGAAGGAAGGAAGGAAGGGAAAAAGAAAGTGAAGAGACTAGGATCTTATAATCCCTTTCAACAGCATATCCTCAATGACTTAAAACCTTCCACTAAGTTCCACCTCCTAAATTTTCCACCATGTTCCAATCACCATCCTGAGGACCAAGTCTAAACACAGAGGCCTTTGGGGGACATTCCAGGTTCAAACTATCACAGATATGCAATGTATTAATCCATTCATTGACTAATGACTATTCAGGTTGTTTCTGCATCTGGCTATTATAGATAAAGCTGCAATGAATATTAATATCCAATCATTTATATGCAGACATGTTTTTGTTTCCCTTAGGTAAAGATCTTAAAATGAATTTTTAGGTCTTATTGTGAATATGTGCTTAAAAATACAAAGTCTCTTGCTGGGCACCATGACACATGCCTGCAGTCCCAGCAACTCAGGAGGCTGAGGCAGAATGATCCCTAGTTGGAGGCTAGCCTCAGCAATTTAGTGAAACCCTGGGTCAAAATTTAAAAAATAAAAATAAAAACGGCTGAGTATGTAGCTCAGTGGTAAAGCACCCTGAGATCAATACCCAGTACCCCCAAAACAAAGACAAAAACAAATCAAAACCCAAACCCAAAGACCAAAACCAATCTCTTTTCCCAAGTGTTTGTAACATTTAACATTCCCACCAGCAACTTATAAGAGTTATAGTTATTCTACATAGTCACTCACACTTGGCATTATTAGTCTTTT